AGCTTACCGAACTCCTATTCAAATCTTTACGTCTTCACGCTAAAGATCATTATGTTAAAAAAAAAACTTTTTTTTTCATCCACACAATCAAGAGGCGGGAGTTTGATGAGGGTGGAAATGGAACACAGTACTGATGAATCCCATCCTATTTCGTGCCGATTCTGCCGTCTCTGTTCACAGTTCAGGAATGAAACACAGACAGGCTACCAAGTCACTGTACATACAGACTTGCTTATTTGGGAGATCTAAATGGCATTTTAAGTATTTTCATCAATTATCAAAATTCGACTGTGTCCCTCTCCACGGTGGGCTAGTAACGTCAATCAAACAGCATATGATAACACGTAGATAATTTCAGGCCCCGTCCTCTTTCAGTCTCTAACCAGGGTAACATGTGTCAAGAGAGCTGTATCAATAGTTTCCTGTTTCGATGGATAACAGATTCTACTCCTTGCCATGTGTCTGACCCAATTCACAATCGAAATGAACGAAAGAGTCGTAAAGGCTTGGTTGTCCCACCGGTGGAAACAATCCTTCGACTTTCAACAAGAAAGCAGCGTTCAGCTATTCGTTATCAAAAGTTCTAAGAACCAAACTCTGTCATCTACGTTTTTTTCCCCGCAGAATTTGTGCGGTGAACATGTCAAAAGCTGATGAAATTTCGAAGAAGAACTTACACGATGCGCATAATTTTCGACAATTTTTGACAGACCAAACCATTTAAAATGCACTTTGACAAGTTTATAAGCACACATCACCGGTTCTGTCGTTAGCATCCAATTTCCAGTTAACGGTCCACGGCCGGTTTTTACAGATTTATACTTCGATGGTGTAGTTTCCGGTCTAATATCCTAAACACTTTATGATTCAGGGATGAATCACAGACAGGATACCAAATCACTGTACATACAGGCCTGCTTATTTGGGAGATCTAAATGGCACTTCCAGTTTTTCATTAATTGTGAAAATTCGACTGTGTTTGTCTCTCCTCGTCAAGAGTATCTGCTGTTTGTATTTTTAAAATTTGTCCTATACTTGTGTAGACAAATCTACCAAGACCGATCGAGCTATCAGTGTGGGCACGCTCCCAAACGCCAGGTACAGCTATGTGATAAGATCCTGGGTTGCACACTTCCTGTTATTTTTGATTACTATCCACCGCTTGTTTATGCGTGCCACTTTTTCGGAAGCTGTCCCAATGGCTATTAACTTTCTTGCGGCACCACTCACTAAGTGCTATAGAAATTGTGGAAATATAAACAATAAATATCCCTGGCTGGGAGACTGGAAGCGGACGGGGGCATGAAATCGTTTATGCGTTAACATATGCAGTTTGTTTGATGTTGCTGGTCCACCGTGGAAAGGGGCACAGCCGAATTTTGAATAATTAATGAAAACACACACTGGAAGTGCCATTTACTAAAGCACAACATCCGCTTGCTGTCGGCAGCACAGGCAAAATATGCCTTGTCCATTGGATCTTACTTTTATGTGCGGAAATACACTATTACAATAAATATCAACGGTATAAGCAAACCTACCGCAGAATTGAGATATGATGAGTCGTCTGCAATATCTAATCTGATTACATCACGCCTATCGAGCTCTTCCACGCTCAGTGAATGCGCATTTGGATTAATACCTCGATCCGGTAAATGGATTGTTTCGATTTGAATAAAAAAATCATCCTTCATATAATCAGGATTCTGCAACATAGCTTCAAATAGTACTTTTAGTGTAAATCTTAACGGAGGTGTCCAAATACAAACGAAAATTCTAGATAACGATTCTGAGCATGAAAATCGGAAAAGGTACCCCAACACGTTATGATACAAAAAAAAAAAAAATATCGTCTCTGGAGATTTTCACGGGAATGTGATTTATAAATGAGTAGAGAAACTATGACTGATGATTTCCAATGATTTGAGACTGATCAGCTAGAAAAAATTATTAGCATAACGAATCTACATTCCTCACTTGGCAGGAAAACATATTAAGGAAGGAAGCTGGCAGCAAAAGTTAATTCCTCATAGAAATTTTGAGTCATGGGCATTTTTTAAAATTCGCTAGCTTTATTTTTTTTTTAATATTCTTCCACTTGCTAATACACTGATCGGCTATAGATTCATCGTTGAATGCTATCAGTGATGGGGCAACGCTTCCACTGATCCCAGTTCTGAATGCGTCATATCCATATATAGATTCAGGTTCCCTCCCCCTCCTCGCCACCCCCCCTCCATCACTATCAGCTTTTCTGAAGTTTGTCTAACATAACACCGGTAACAAAATTCGCAAACTCTTCCGTCTAATCTGTCATTTATCCTATAAATCTTCATAACAAGCAGACTGTAGCAACCAGGTCGACTCTGGAGATCTAAAATCATAACAACTTTGACTAGATCCTATCAATTCT